ACCAGCCACGTAGTTGAACCTAAGGGGACAAGCTCTATTATAAAAAAAAATGTTAGTTAATAGTGAATTATCTAAAAATATAATTTATAAGAAGGAAATAAATATAAGCTCCCCCCTTCAAGAAAAAAAATATATTGTGTTAGGTGTATGACTAGCCTTTGTCTTGAGTTATTTTTTTTTTAAATATAATATAATAAAAAAACAATTAATATAAATACATTGTCAAACAAAATATGAAAAATTTCATCAAAGCAGAATACATAAATTATTTAATAAAAATAATAATAATTCTTTGTAAAGGTAGGTAGGTAATATATATTTTTAAACAACTAATATTTTTTTGAATACTGAGCTATGTTTTATCACTTCCTCAATAATGTTTTCATATGTTAATGTTTCCAAAATATCTTTATTTAAATGCATTAACATTCATGCATCCAGATTTTCCATCGATAGACGGTTTTTAAGTAGGTTTTTAATAAAACTTAAGGTAGAAAAACTCTTTTCACAGCCTACCTGAGTGCATGATAGTGTTGAAATATACATATAGGCTAAAAATAAATTGCTATATGCTTTAACATATAATCTATATTTAAACAATACATTAAAACAGCAAAGAAAACATTTTAAACACCGTATATTTGTTTTGCATAGGTTTTGTTCAAACTCATTTTCTTGCAAACATTCTAAATCTAATTCTGGAAGTTCATTTTCCTCATCACTTCTATAACTTTCATATACTTCAGGTAAATTTAATTTAAGCTTATCCCATTTTTTGGTAAAATCTAGAAATTCTTCCCTTAAAATAGAAGTATTTTCTAATCCAAGAACTTTACTAAGTTTGAAAAGAGCAGTTGTGGGCAATGGTTTTGAAAATTGACGAGGATCTAAGCATGTAAAATCTGAACATATTTCAGCGTGTTTAGCAAAACGTTGTTCTAGTTTACAAATCACTGTATCCATCGCTGTGTTATGAACATTAAATTTAAACAAGTCAATAGCAGTTTCAGTAACAGTTACATTTTGGTTCTCACCATACAATGTTTTTTTCTAACGTATCCGCACATTTGGCAAATTATCCGGGATCAAATTATTAATTTCATCTACTAGGTAGTTTAATTTTGTTCATAATAATACAATAATTATTTCTGTCCTTTTATCAATTTAAATTGATTTAAATATTAAATTCCATAAAATAACGATTGAAATAAATTTTTTTTTTATCAAATTAAGATAACCACCATCATACTCGCGGTCCAATATAATTTATTAATAGTTACGGCGGTACGCCAGTACGGCCCCTTTTTGCTGCGGCCCACCGGGAAATTTCCCGGTATCCCGGTGGGCTAGTCCAACCCTGGGTATATAATATACTATGTAGTAGGTACTTAATGTATTACAGTTTTTAGGTGAGTCAAATTATGTAGGTATATCAATAAACAAAATATAACTTAATGTATTTAATTAAATTCTGGCAGGTAAATTGTATAATGATATGACTAAACTATACGATACTGTCTACATAATATGCCCGTTAATATACGCGACATTATGCGAGTGGGCCGCGGAGTGGGATGGAGTGAATGCGGGGGGGGGGAAACTTTGTTGACGCGAAGCGCGCCCGTTTCGACCTGCCTCTTGTGATCGGCGCTCGTACAACGCACATCGACTCTCACGGAAAAGCCAAATACGTTAGATATGTTATTTAACATTCAGTGTTTTTCTTTGAGTTTTGTTGTCTTTTGGGCGCTTTTCACATACCCGGTGAGTACAACTTCTATAATAATATCTACTACTATATAATATTCAGATAAACTACTGATTCTATATGTTTGCACCAGCTACAGACATCATGGCGCGTTTCGTGTTTTTTTCGTACACCGCAAATGTACTTTGAATACCTATAACTTTTTTATATCCGCATTCGTATTAGTTGTGTATTATCCAGTCGCTGTAGTCGATGTTTAAGTCCGTTGGCTGTTTCTTCGCGTTACCATTGCGGTACCTACGTGTTTTATCGCTTTACATTTTGCGTTAACACTTAACAGTTAATTGTGCAATTACGAGCTGGGTATGTCATTTTTCGTATTTTTCTATTTTTTATGTACATCACGTAAGCCGGTGTGTACCTATTAATTCTAAAAATAACACGCGAGTCTCATACCTCACCGCTGATAACAATAACTGATACCCACAACAGACAACAGTCGTTGTATTCGATTGCAACGTTTTTTTTTTATGACGAGTTTTTCATATTTAGTATTCACTTTTTACTTATTATTACTATAACCTGTTCGTGATGCTTTTAGGCTATTCAAAATGGTCAAACGATGTGGGCTATGCGGAATTGTGGAGAAAACATTATCGATGTTTCCGTACACAAGTAATTCACCCAACACGTACCAATACCTACTTATCAATATATTATAATAAATTATGTGTCGCCTTAGATTTCCAACTGCCGTATACCGTATACAGTTACTGTTGGCGCGACTTTTAACAAACGTTTACATAATACGGGAGACATTGGTTCTAACACCATGTTGGTGCGTGGAAACAAAACCACAACCAGCTGACCGAGTTCCGTTTCCATATCGTTGCGCCTTCGGCAATGCAACGCTGAAATTCTTGATGGAAATACAGTATGCTATTATTTCAGGACACCTTCATTTATTCGTAAGTGATTACGGGCCTTATCAGCAATTTTTGGGCACGGTAAAAATACTATTTTCATTTTCGACCCGGCTTCGGAGTGGTGGATCTTTTATCTGACGTTTAGTCGGATTGCTTACGCATTTAACGATGTTATCATCAATCAAGGTGGTGACTGACTTGCTAGACACTCAACAGATCACGGCGGCACGATTCCCTCGAACCGGCCGTCACACATCGTCAAGTTGTCTACCCGGGTGACTACGACCAACATCAAGTCGATCGACACCGCGGAGAACGCAGCCGTCGTGCGTCGTGTCGCTTTTACTATAACATACAGGCTTCAATACAGGGGTCGGATTGACTACCGGATAACATAGATGACTGACCTGCTAGACACCCAAAAAAAGGCGGTGGCTATATGATATGCATGGACGCCCGAAATATTTCTTCTTTATTTTTGCGTTTTCGGTAACAGTAATGAACGTGATGACGTTCATCAGCCGTCGCACATTATCCGCTATCCGACGAAGTCGGATTGCCTACCAGGCTGACTACGACCTACGTAGAGGAAGGTGACTGACCTGCTAGAACCCAAAACATGTTTTCACATAAATTATATAACCGATGCATCGAATCGGTTGTCACGTTGTCTACCCGGGTGACTACGTCCAACATCGAGGAAGGTGACTGACATGCTGGACCCCCAAGAAAAGACTTTGACAGGTATCCGGTTAACTAATCCACTATCCTTATCACGAATCCTCCATCCTTATCACACATCCACTTTTCTTATCACAAATCCAATATCCTTATCATAAATTGTTATCACAAATCCACCATGCTTATCACGGGTCGTAGGCAGTTGTCCGAAAAATGATAAGAACTCAAGTCGAATGACGGTACCATTAAAGTTATTGCCAACATACAATTTAAAAAATTATATTATAAAACTTTTTTGTTTGTTTGTAGGATAACACTGATCAACTAAATGATAATTCTTATATTTTTTGATAATAATTACATTATTAAATACTATTGCCAGACTATTAATAGATGTAAGATGTTTACACACGAATTTCAAGAATTTATTGAATTAAATATATATTATTTATAAAATTGTTATTGAATTTTTAAATGATAACAATTGATTATTGTTGTCGCTTAACTAAAAATAAAAATGTTGGCCGATAACAATTAAACAGCGACGCAGCGTTAAATCACCCTACAAAAACTATCATGACGTGCTAATTATAACATTAATAAAATAACATTATATTTTCATCAGGCATAGCGGACTAATTATTATAAATAAAATGATTTCCTTATCGATATTCGATAACAATTTCATTTGCTTTTGGACTACTGCCGTAAGTCGTAGTGGTACGTGGTTCCTACAGAGTACAGACCTACAATCCTACTAATATACGATTCATTTAGAGACGTCAAAATTACGTGAGTAAATATTTGAATTATTCGATTTTATAAGGCTCATGTGGAATTAAGAAATACTCGTACATGTAAAAGCTGTACAATATAATATGTAAATACGTAGGATAATTCGATAGATTATCGGGGAACATTGAACAAGTCTTATTTCAACTCTTCATGATTAATAAAAATTTTCTGAAAATATTAATTATATAAATATAACATTTAGATCATAAAGTATTTATTTCGTCAATTCATATTTATTTATATCAAAAATCGTAATATTATAATAAATACTAAATAGAATAGACATGTCAATAAGATAAAAATAGTATTTCATTCAGTGCACCCGCCAAAAATAGTGTGCGTGTGTTATGTAATTGTAATGATTGTATGATTTTATTTATAAAATATGTATTAATAGTCATGTTTACTGTTACAACTTACTCAAGATTTCAGTAATTCAGTCACTATAATACTATATAGTGACTACTGACTACTCGTCAGTCGTTCAATACTTCGTTAATCATTACTTCGTCAATTGTTCGAATTATTTTACTATTGTCCGAAATAATGTTTAAATATTCGTTATACTTTATTTTATTTCTAGTTTTTTGGTTTTACTTACGAAAATATGTTATAATCATTTTGTAATATTTTTAATATGGAAACATGGAGTGCTCATATTCTGGTCATGAACGCGATGTAAAAAAAATTAACTTTGAACTGGAATCGGTATGTCAATTTATGCAAAATTAAATTTAAAGAAGGTAGTAAACATGTTTTTCTAGTATCTATCAAATTTAGTTGGTAAAAATATATATAAATGTATGTGTGTAGAATAAATAATAATTGTCAAAAATATTGTAAAATTAGGTAAGTTTTTGTTGTAGGTAGGTGGGTGAATGCTGAAAATATCAAACCTCTACACTAGGATAAGAACCTAAACCTATCTCTTGTATAATATAACCATCTACTCTGTGTCCTGCACGTCTCAAAAAAGATAAGAGGCGATCTGAATTTAAGTCTTGAGTGTAGTCTACCAAAAAATCTTTAATTGCTTCAGTATTGGCTGTTCTTGCTCTTGTTGGAACACCATTTCGAATCTGTGAAATATTCAAAGGGTATGAATGACAAGAATTTATAATTTTCAAGAAACTTAAAGTTTAATTCTAACCTTCAAATTTTGTTTCAATTGTCTGAATTCCACAAATGACTGATTTTCTAAGAACAGTAGCTGGTCTATAAATAAAGTAAAGAATTTAAGAATTAATTAGATTAAGTAATTGTCATTTCCTAAAGATAAATATAAAATAATACATTCTTAAATACAATTAAAACAAAATACAATTTTGGACTTACTTATACCTTAGGTTAGGTAACAAATTAATACAATAAACATATAAATATAAGTTTGGTTTAAATACACTGCCATTATTGTGGAACATCTTGCAATAAAAACATTGCAAATTCATACACTATACTCAACAAAATTATTAGTAATTAACTCACAAAAACAATAAAAAAAAATTAAAAATACAATTTTAGACTTACTTATACCATGTACATTGTACATCCTTAGGTTAGGTAACAACTTAATACAATAAACATATTAATATAATATTGGTTAAAATATACTTTGCCTTTACCGTGAAATATCTTTACCTTTATCGTGCAATCAAAACATTTTACTGTTTTAGGTACATAGTAAACTGCCACTATTAATTCACATTTAGAACAAAATTAATAATAGTGTTAAATCCTACTAAGGAATTCCCACACTCTGGGATGAGGTTTGATGAGCCTTAACAATGAAGCGTGGTAACTTTCAACAAAGTTATTTGTTCGGATATCTTTTTTAAACACTGTTATTGCTGTAGGTCCCATCGTTTCAAACTAATATCTCCAAATATAATCATATAAAAATTGTTCAAGACACATCATTAAATTGGGAAATTGATTAACGTAATCAACAATTGTTTGAAATCCATCCTCCATTGATGGGATATCGTTAGTTTTTACAGCAGGCAAATATGGTAAAGCTAAAACCTGTAAGTAATGAATGTAAATTAAATTTTTGTTAAATTAAGAAAAGTACTATTTTATAGTTTTAATATTCAAAAATTACCATTCTTAACACTCTGGCAGCTATTGGATTTTTTGTAATTAAGTGGTATATGCTAGTTTTTTTATTTCTAACAAAACGTATTATTGCCTAAAAAAACAAAATATTAATCGTATAGGTATACTTTCATAGCCATTTAAAAAAAAAAAAAAACTTAAGTGTTTGAACTTAATTTTATATATGTACCTGGCAGAAATGAAAATAACATCCTTGATGATCGCTTTCAGGGAATACTGTTTTTACCGCATTCATCAATCCATATTCATAATCCGTTATAATTGTGAGTTGGCTATATGTTAATGGTAACACATTTCTAATATATGACAGCAACTCAACATATATTTCTTCGGTCTTTCCTGACAATATTGCGTTCACCAATGGAAAACTCTACAACAAAGTATGTGCATTATTACATAATTGCTTATTTTATTTATTGTTATGATTTTTAATTATTTGCCCATTGATTATAATATTTGTGCCTTACCACATTTTTATAAATTATTTGGAAAGTAAATATTTGGTATGCATCTTTTTTTTTAAATTTTGGCACTGTTTTGAATGTCCCATCACATCCTGCTACCTGAACCTAATATTTTAATTAATAGTTACTTAAATAATTATCATATAATTTTAGCCTTAAGGTTTAAAACATTACATACATTTCTTAATTCTGGTCCTAGTTGTTGAATATTAGTTGTGTTGCAAAAAATTAAACCTTTGATTTGTTGGTTTATTAACAAAGGACCTTGATAAAACCTATTAAAATTTAAAGTTGTTGATATTTAAACTACTTAGATTAAGGTATAAATATTAATTTACTTATTTGATGGATTTTGCAGTGTTAATGTATATTGGCTATTTGCCATTAGTAATATGTGAAGGTCTTCAATATTGTCAGGTGTTGCAGGAAATGACTTTTGCCTCAGACGACGCATCCGTTCAGAGCATTGGAGAAAGGTATAATCTTGTGCAGCATTTGGAAAACTATAAAGTAAGTTGGTGTTATAATTTAAAATAAATTATTTACAGATTAATATGCTAATATACTCTTAAATTTTTCAGATAAAACCAATTGCAATTATTAAAAGACATTTATTTAATTTGTTAAATAAAAATATGTATTACTTAACAATCTCTTCCATGTATATTCCTCTCGAAGAATACGAACATACAGATTTTTTTAATGCCTTATTTGTCAACGTTTGCCTGAAAATTGGTACCTCCTCGTTGAATGGCCTTACTTGATGATTGTGTTGTTTACACAAAATTAATTTATCATTATTTTGGTCAGGGGATATATGAGCAGTTGCTCGACACGGATTCTGCGATTTTTTTTCAAGACATACCAAATATCTGTACAATTAAGACATTTAATTTTTAATTTTTTTTTTTATTAACCTTTTTTATACTCACATTTTGTTCTCAGTTCTTTTATTTTTATAATAAAGGAAACCCAGATTATCCCGTACAATTTCTGTCATTCTTTGAGTACCAAAGACTATTGTGTATGTCTCAGGCCTTTCCAAATTAAGGACTTCACATGATTGCTTTTGGGGTTCTATTTCATGTAAAATTAAATAGTAAGTGAAAGAATTACATTAAATAACTTAAATACATACCCGGATTATAATTTTCGATAGGCTCTTTAGAATCTATTTGTATATAAAAAAAAGAAATATTTATTTATACTATTTTATTATTTAAATAGTTGAATACATACTATTATCATTGTCATTATGTACCAAATCCATCAGCACATAGTCGTGATCATGACTAATAATACCTACAGCATCATTATATATATTATTAATTTTCAGTTTATGCATCTATAATCATGATTATTTATATTAATTAAATTCTTTAATTCTTACCATGCTCTTGATTGGTAAAATGATAGGCATGGTCATGATTTACAATATCTAAACAAACTTTCAAAATAGTTTTAAAAAAAAATGTATTTTATAAAGCTTGTTAAAAAAAATCAATATTATAATAATAATGTTTACCGTTATTTGTTGGTACATCCATTTTAAATAATAATTTAATGTCCAAATGTCAGTGTAATATTCAAGGATTTTCAGATGTAGAATGTAATAGTTTTTAGATATATATGTAGAAAATAATTTTGTGGAGTAATATAATTTTTATGTATATGTGGAGTATAATATAATTTTTTTGTATAATTTTTATCAATTTTAAAATAGAGATTTTTTTGTCCGATGGTTGGCAATAACTCCATGCTTTCGGAGTCTTATCAAGTTTCTCTCTCTTATCATTTTTCGGACAACTGCCGATGCCCCGCTTATCACTTATCTACAATCTTTATCAATAATCCACTATCCTTATCACAAATCCAGTTTCCTCATCACTAATTTATACCACAAATCCTTATCACTAGACCTTCATACCACCCATTAACCGTCCAGCTCGAGACTGGTGACTGGCGACGGCGGCTATATGATTTGCATGGACGTCCGAAATTTTTTAAATACTTTTCAAGTAATTTATTACTTTTTTTGCTTTTTCAGTAACAGTAATGAACGTCGTCCGCGATTCGACGCAGTCGGATTGCATACGTGATGACGCTCCCCAGCAGTCGAGTATTGTCGGATTGCCTTCCAGGGTGACTACGACCAAAGTCGAGGAAGGTGACTGACCCGCTAGACCCCAAATACTATTACTACGGCGAACGTCATTCGAGGTGACTGACCTGCTAGACACCCACAAAAATACAACGACGATTTATAATTTTTTTACGGAATTTTGAATTTCCGGCGGCAGTAAAGAACGTTGTCGTCCAACGTTGTTGCTTACCGGGGGGGCTACCACGCCAAACCACGGTGGACCTAACCTTTTCAGAGTTCCTTATCACACACCGACCAGCTCGAGACTGACGACCAGACCAATAGACCACTGCATCTTCCAAAATCGAAAACACTCATGACCGACACCCGGGGGTCTGGGGGTATCCCCCAGCGACGCTCGGAGAGCTAGTCTAAGTCTATAAAACAGAAACACGAGTGGCGCTGCCTATGTGTAAATGCGTTTTTTGCCGTTTTTTTCGAAAATTCGAGTTTTAGGCGTTTTGGGACCTCCCCGTTTGGATCTTATTCGAGTTCCCCGCTAAATTTATAGCCGGCGCGCTGCCCTACTTTTTCAAAAACGAGTCCCGGGGAGGACCGGCGTCGCTTAAACGAGAGTAGGTACCGATTGGGTATCGAGTAGGTACCGCTATATACAGGCATAAATAAGTGAGTCTCGAAGTTCGATTTTTTTCGCAAAGCTCGGGTATTATACGTCCGAGGGCGGCGGAGCCGGTCGTCTGCTCGCCGACGCGGTCGGATCGCCCGCTCAAACGCCCTTTGCCGGCCGTCCAGACGGCGTTCGCTTTTCGCGAGCACGGCGCCGCGGCTTAAGAGTCATACATTTGACTGAGAATTTCATCTCAGTAGGTGGCTAGGTTGGTTAGGCGTTAGGATAGGTGACTCGAGGGTCGTGGTTTCGAACCCGCCGCCCGAAAATCGATAATGTGCGGCGGCCGTGATAAATGTAATTTTTTTTTTCGTCACATTTTTTTTCAAAATTCGCGTTATTATATTAAACATATCGGTATTTGTATATATTATAATTCGCTTAACTATATTTATTTTATAATTAGCATTTAATTAATACTTGATTTTACCGTGACCAACGCACCTATATGTAAATAAGTTTCTTTTATAAATACAATATAATATAACTAACCTATATGACATATATTGTAGTACCTACTTGATATATTACGGTTTTAAAGTGATTCCGATTTGGTTAAATATTGTTTAATACGATATTAATAAACTAATAGATCTAAAAGAACTGATTAAACTCTGGCAGTTAAGTAGTACGACTATATTATGACTGCTCTTTTTGCCGTTTTTTCGAAAATTCGAGTTTTAGCCCCGTCGACGACTTATTCGCGTTCCCCGCTAAATTTATAACCAGCGCGCGGCCCTACTTCTTCAAAAACGAGTCCCGGGGAGGACCGGCGTCGCGGAAAAGAGAGTAGGTACCGATTACGTATCGCTATATACAGGCATAAATACATGCGTCTCGAGGTTCGATTTTTTTTTGCAATTCTCGCGTTTTATACATCCTAGGGCCGCGGAGCCGGTAGTCCGCTTCCCGACGCGGTCGGATGGCTCGCAACGACGCCCTTTGACTGACGACCAAACGGCGTTCGCATTTCGCGTTGACGGCAACGCGGCGTATGAGTCATAGATTTGACTCTGATTTTCATCTCAGTAGGTGGCTAGGTTAGTTAGGCGCTAGGACAGGTGACTAGAGGGTCGTGGTTTCGAACCCGCCGCCCGAAAATCGATAATATTTGCGACGGCCGTGATAAATTGAATTTTTTTTTTCGTCGTTTCGCTATCACTTCCGTCTTATCATTTTTAACGTAAATGTTCCGATTTTTTTCAAAATTCGAGTCTTAACGCCTCTACTGACTTCGGACCTCCCCGTTGAAGACTTATTCGCGTTCCCTGTCAAATGATTTAGCAAGCGGACAGTGTCTTTATTACTATACATGGGCGTGAATATAATATGCGACGAAGAGTTTGATTTCTCTTTTTTTTTTTTTTTTTTTTTCAAAAATTCGAGTTTTAGCTCCTTTTGGTCGTATTACCCTCCCCGTTTGAATCTTATTCGCGTTCCCCGCTAAATTTATAGCCAGTGCGTGGCTCTACTTTTTCACAGACGAGTCTGTACGAGTAGGTACCGTGTAAGTATCGCTATATACAACAATAAATACATGCGTCGCGTCGTTTTTTGCCGTTTATTTCTAAAATTCGTTTCTTGGCCCGTTATAGTGGTATTACCCTTCCTGTTTGGATGTTATTGGCGTTCCCCACTAAATTTATAAGCCGCCCGCGTCAGTACTTCGCTCGAGTCGAGTTCCGCGGAGGAGATCTCGCAGCGGACAGTGTTGTTATTACTATAAACGGAAATGAAAATATGCGACGAAAAGTTCGATTTTTTGATTCAAGAAACTGCGTTATTATGTTATATTTTACTGCTTACACGATCTACCCACAGAGTCGGTCTGTAGGTACCTGGTACATGCATATTATAATATATAAATGTATATTTATCAAGAGTTGATACACGGTGGCTGGGTCGGTTTAGTTAAATTATATACTTTATAAAATATTATCCCAGCTCGAGTCGACGATGGATGTCACAGAAACAATAATATAAAATAATTATATATTAGGTATTATTAATTTGAGTATACAATAGGTAGGTTTAATCAAATTAATAAATAGATAATTGATAAATAACAATATTTAGATAATTGACAACCACAGCTAGGTATTGCTTTTATTATCTACATTTGTGAGCAACGCACCTAAATCGTTTGACATGGGCTCGATTAAATATAAATATATAATATACTATGTAGTAGGTACTTGATACAGCTATTACAGTTTTTAGGTTAGTAAGATTTGGTTTGATTATAATACTGCTACAGATACAAATAATAGTTAATACTATATTAATAAACAAAATAGAACTTTATGTAAGTACCTCTTTATTTTAAGTCTGGCAATTAGATTGTATAATGATATGACTATATACTATTTGATATAACTTATATAAGTAGGTTTAAATATGAGCATTATATGAAATAAACTACTTGTTATTATAACGACTATGGTTATCTTATACTTACTTGAATAGACAATAGTAATAATAACCAACATACTTGTAGGTATACTAGGTACTACTTAATATATTACAGTTTTTAGGTGAGTCAAATTATGTATATTAGTAAACAAAAAATTACTAACTATATTATGTATTTAATTAAATTCTGGCAGTTATGTTGTATAATGATAAGACATAATTTGATATTACTCAAAATATGTGTAGGTCTATCATGTTTATTTATGTACATGAGTTTCAAATCAATAAAAGAAAAACATAATTAATAAATGATGAATAACAAATTGATATTATATATTATGTACTTACCATATGACCTATATGCATTATAATATATATGTATTACTATTATACCCATAGATGTATAAGTATATACAATATAAACTACATTCATACACACTTGCATTACACATAACAGATAAGTCATAACACAATGATGCACCATTATAAATGTGCAATTATAATTACTAAATAATTTAAACTATCATGAATATCATATGACATTAAATAAATTGGTAGGTAGGTACATAATATATTATATACAGTCATACAATATAACAGAAAAATATTATGATAGTAGACCTACTCAGTAAGATAAATGCCAAAAAATACAAACTATATACATTGTATAGTGTATACATTTATACATACCTACGTTTAAGGTCAATCAAATTTGCTATTCATCAATAAAATGATCTATTTATTAATTTGATTTAATTCTCATAATTAAATAAATATACAAGGTAGGTACAGCTATATATGTAAGTAATATCAAATAGTATAGAAAATATTATACAATTATTAAATAACTTTACTACCCACAAACTTTACTTAAATATATAAAGATCTTTTTATTTATTAATATAATATTATATATTATATAGAAACAGTATTTGTATGCTACATTAAATTATTAATTACCAAAATAAGAAAGTGGCTATTTGATGACTCAACCAATTAACTTAAATGACAACTGTAATATTATATTGATAAGTATGCATTTATTAGTTCATAACAAGGATTGGAACCGTAACTTTTTGAAAATCTTAGGACCGGAACAATTAAATACATTTTTTTAAGAAAAGAAACCGAAACCTATATTTTGATGTAGAGGTTTTTTCGGTTTTTTTTGGTTCCAAAATCCAATAGATATTTCATCTGTGGTGTAAGTAGGTAATAACTAATTATTACTAATAATAAATAAATAATTATAAAATCGTAGACCTAAATTTTGGCGTAATGACGTCGAGGAAGGTGACTCGCGGTAGTCGGATTGCTTTGAATTTTTTTTCACATAATTCATAACTTTATTTTGCGTTGTCGGT